GGGGGGGGGGGCTCTGCTCAGAGCAGGTGCTAGATGGATAAAGTCACGTGACTGTCCTCAGGACCAAAGGTCACGACAAAGGACGTGGGGGCTGGTTTTGTACATGAGAACACAACCTGGAGGCAGTCTTCTCTGCTGAAGACACCCCAACTTCACTTACAGTCCTGGAAATGCTACACTCACACAAGAATTAGGGCAATAACTCTGACCACCCGCGCACTGGACACCAGGGATGCCTGGAGCAGGGCCAGGACACACAAAGCAAGCCTGAACCAGGTACTTGGAGTTCAAAGACGACGGGTAGCTGCTATTCCGAAACCCCAGCTTTTCACTTCTGTGTTCGCCTTCCCCGCATCTTCCGCCCCTTGGGTTGGCATCTCAGGGATTCTGTCTGAGGATGGCAGAAGGCACCACTTTAGAAGACATGGCCCTGGCGTGGGGCACACGCCTGTAACCCCAGTGCTGTGGAAGGCTGAGGCAGGAGGGTCCAAAGTTCAAGGCCAGCCTGGGCAACTCAGTGAGACTATCTCAAATTAAAAATTAAAAAGGACTGGGGATGTAGCTTAATGCAAAGGTTCTGGGTTCAGTCCCCAATACCACACACACCACACACACACAGAAAGTGGCCGAAACTGTGAGTCACCATCAAGAGCATCAGAACTGCAGAATGAGTCCAGCCTTGTGGACAGCGCCAGCCCCACGGAGTTTCTCTGGTGGAGAACACCACACTCCAAGTACCAAGTACATCTCAGAAACCGCCAACTAACAGCACAGGGCGCTGGGGTCACCCTAATCCACACAGGGCCCTCGGGGAAGCCTGAGCTGGATGTCAGGATAAGTTTCCAAGTCCAGCTGGCGCCATCTGCCTCTAGGGCAGTGGAATTGGGTCAGGTGGCCTCCACAGTAAGGAGGTGAGTGGCTCTGCTTCTCATGTCCTTGGGGGGAGGAGGAGGAAGAGGGAAAGCCCGCCCGCCCTCCCCACCCCTCCTCACAGACTCTGGGAGAATAAAGAGCCTGACAGGCCAGCAGAGCACTCCCTGCCTCAGTCAGACCATAGCCCCAACCTCAGAATGGGGTCCCCACGCCTCTGTCCCCTCCCCAGACCGGGAAGTGACCTGGGCAGTCCTCTGCATCCCTTCCTTTCCTGCGAACTCTGACCTTACAGTTGGGGTTGGTCAGCCTCCTCCATGTTGCTTAAGATGGAGGCGTTGCCTGGGCAACAGCGATGTCACTGAGAAGTGCTTCCTGGGTGGCCTCAGGGATGCAGGGGAATCCACCAGGGTCCCAACTGTCCTAGGTTCCCGAGGCCTGCTGGGCATTATGGAGGGCCCCTGATCTCCAGAAGGCCTCTTTATTCTGCCTCCTCTTTGGATCCTTGGGACAGGCCATGATTTGAACCAACCAGAACACATCAAAAGGACAGGACAAGCAGCTTTGTCCTCAGTGTGGAACTGGCTGCTCGGGGGACCCCAAGGACGTCGTCCTCCATTCAGGCACTGAGGTCAAAGTAGTGGCCTGGCAGGACAGCCAGCTTGGCAGAGAGTGCAGATGCTCACCGCCCTTCGTGCTGGTCGGGCATCGGTTCAGCTCAGGGCTTTCTCCACCTCAGCCAGCTCAATCCCCAGCCCTGTGGCTCCTCCCTTCTCCCGATGAGAACCCGAGGCTTGGAATAGACCAGGCGCTTGCCCGGCCACTGAAAACACCCAGTGCGGCAGAGGCAGGACCCTGGCCTGCACAGTATGCCCACCCAGGCCACACCTCCCTGGATCTGGGCACGGAAAGACGAGCCCCAAGAGGCCTGGACAGAGACCAAGTCCCCAGGGGCTGGCCGGGTAGGGAAGGGGACCCGAGGCACAGCGCACACTGCCCTGGGATGGCTTCACCCCACGTCATGGGCAGGGCCGGGAAAGGAGGCTGCCTGACTCAGGTCCCCAGGGCTCAGCGCTGACTGGGGGCTGCGCTTCACCACTCTGTGCCTGGCTTTCTTCCGACCCTCCCAGCTACCGCACCAGCCTCTTAATTTGCGCAGAGCATTTACTCCTTGGGCCTGTATCCATGACTCTGAGGCTGCATCGAACTTAGGCAAATCTGTGTAGCTAGGAGCTAAGGCTCAGAGAGCACTGAACAAACAAGTAAATACAATGAGAAATGCCAGTTATACAAGAATAAAGGGTGGGCCAGGGATTTAGCGCAGAGGTTCTGCTGCCAGCCTTACAAGCACAAGGTCTGGAGTTTGATCCCTGGTACCAAAAACAACAACAAAAAGAATAAAGTGAGCAAAGCTGCAGGCTAACACAACCCTGCCCTGGGCACTGGCCAGGGCTGACCTGAGCAGTTCCCCTTAGAGGTGGCTGTCCACTGGCGCGTGGACCACACAGGTGGCCCGCACTGCTAGACAGCAGGGCCCCACCCTCCTTCCTGCTCTGACTCTGGCTTTGCTAAGCAAAGGCTCCCCAAAGGCTTGCCCCGGATGCAGGGAACAGATGACAAGATGACGTCCAGTCTGGGTAACAACGGTCCCCAAAATCCTACAAATTAATAAGCAAGCATTCTGACATGCACACCCTCTTCTGGGAGCTATCAGGGTGGCGCAGGAGCCCAACCACTCTGAAAATGACAGAATAAGGCTTCTGAGCAGGCACAGCTAAGCCAGTCCCTGGGGCTAGCACCCCTGGGCAACCCGCTGGGCACCAGCTGCCTTTCCAGGGACTGCTTGCTGCCCCGTGCTGAGCCTGTTCTGTCCCAGCGTCTCTGGACAGGATGCTTTGCGATGCTCAGGTAGCTGATCAGGTGCTGAGATGTTCTCAGGAGCTAAGCAATCACATACCTGGCATGGAGGGCGTGGGCACAGGCTTCCTGGATGGCCACGTGCGGCCTCTGTGTAGGGGTAGGACTCGGACAAGGAAGCGGTCAGCAGGGCAGGGTGAAGGGCTGCAGTTAGGAGGCCAGCCCGGCACTCCTGGGCACTCTGCACCTGTGGCCCCTGCCTGTGTCAGGCCTGCATGCGCCCAGGTGGCGCTGACTCACCACCTCATGTCAGACCCGACCTGGCCCTGCCACCTCCAGCTGCTGGGTGATCAGGAAGACTTCCCTCAGCCATCAAGGCGGGGCCAGCCCCTCTTCCTCCCTTCTCCACCCTTCCACCGCCCAGGCTGAGTGCTGGCACATCCTCCGAAGAGAATGAAAAAGGCCACTGCGCTCCCCTCCTTCCCATGAGGGTCCCAGCCCAAGTCACTTTCAGACTTAACCTGCTTCTTGTTCCATCGGTGCTCAGTGACTGGCACTCAGCTTACAGCCTAACACTTTATTGCCCTGGGCCTCAGTCTCCTCATCTGAAAAATGGGGACAACAACACTCCACAGGACTCTTCTGAAGATTAGATGAGTTAAGCCCACGGTGTCTAGGCCTCAATCATCAGGGCTGTTCTGAAGGGCACTGGGCTGGGGAGTGAATCTAGAGCACAGGCCTCCTGTCAGCTATGTGCCTTGGCCCTAGGCCCTGTCTCCAAACAGCATGGACACAAGCACTGCAAAGCCAGCAGCAGCGCTGGAGGCTGTCTCAGCCCTCAGCACCTAGCAGCTGGCTCCTCCCAGCCCAGCAGGTCAAGACCAGAGGGCAGGCCTGTGGGTCCAGCCCCTCCGGGAGGGCCCTGCTCCATGGAGTCCTCTCAGCTCCAAAGTGGAGCCCTGGAACCTACCCAGGGAATGGCTGGGGCAACTGGCTGTGCTGACAGCTAGGCTGCTGCCTGAGTACAGACCCTAGGCCATGCAGACAAGTCTGTTTCCCCGGACACCTGAGGGCCCAGCCTTGTACCCTTAGGCTCCTCAGTCCTGGAGCCCGGTCTGGCTTGCCCTTCTCCATCAGAACGCACTTCACAAAGCACCCACAGCAATCCGACCCTTCTCCCAACAGTGCCCACTAGGCTGGCAGTGCTGTCCCTCCGCCAGGTGGCACTGACAACTGGGCCCGTCCAGCCACCACCCCAACCCTACCCTGCTGACTCCACACACGGGGTGGTCATCACTGTCTCCCTGGGAAACTGCACCTTCTTCATAAAACAGGACCCCTGCTCTCCACCTTTCTCTTGCTCTCTCTCTCTCTTTTTTTTTTTTTTTTTTTTTTTTTTTTTTTTTTGAGACAGGGTCTCACTGTGTAGTTGAGACTGACCTGGAACTCACTATGTAGCCCAGGCTGGTCTCGAACTCACAGCGATTCTCCTGCCTCAGCCTCCCGAGTGCTAGGATTATAGGTGTGCGCCACCAGGACTGGTATCTTTCTCTTTATTGACCCCCCACCCCCAAGGGTCCAAAAAGGAAAAACACAAAACCAGCTTCCTCCGGGATGACAGCTTCTCTGTGGGCAACTTTCTCTCCATAAATCCCAGCACCTCCTCACCCTCTGATAAGATAGATGTCCACACACACCTCGGGGGAGGGCAGAGCAGCAGACAGGGGTGACTTCTGTGACGCTGACATCAGGTTAAAAGCTCAGATCATTGCCACCTGAAAGTCCGGGCTTGAAACCGATGTAAATCAAAAATTACTCAGTTAGAGGGGAGCAGGTAGAACCGCTCCAGGGTGAGCCACAAGCGGATGATGCGGTGGAACGGCCGGCCGGGAGCAGCCAACACTCAGGGAGTTAGCAAACCGCGAAAGCCACTCGGGCACTGCAGGCCGGGGGAGGGCTCGGGTCAGCAGCAGCAAGGCCACCTGCGCCGCACCCCTTCTGCACTGCCAGGCCTGACTCGGGGCTGCAGTGGCCCAGCCTCAGCTATCCTCGGGAGAAGTGGCCTGTATAAGGCAAGCGCCCTGCTCAAATGTGAAAGAGGGACGAGGAAACAGGAGGCATCCCCGACACCGACTTGGATCCCAAATCCCAGGGCCCAGGACGCTGCCAGGATCTGGGGGGCGCTGGAGGGCCGGGGAGGCAGAAGGAGGCTCGCCCGACCGTCCTGCTCCGCGCGCCGCACTTTGTTTTAAGGAGAAGGCGCGCTTTAGGCGGGAAGTCTGGCCCGGTGCTCCGGCTCCCTCTACCCCGGAGGTGGTGGGGCACTGGCCCGGGCCTGAATGTGGCTCAGGAGACAGGCGGCGGCGGCTGCTGCCCCGCGTGGGGTCTGTACTCACAGTCACGCTGGACAGAGGAAAGACCAGCTCCCCTCCCGCTCGCTTTCCACTTTCCCGGGAGGGAGGGCAGTGCGGCCACGCCGGGGCGGCTCCGCGCTCAGCGCCGCTCG